TAGCATTATCCATGGAAATTTGGCAGGTTGACTCTCGTATAATAATGACAGTATATGTCAAATTCCAGATAGTTTTAAGTGTGGTTTACATAATTTCGTAAGTGTCGCGGTATTAAAATTTTCTAGCCTATCTGGCAAATCAAATTTGACACATTTTTCAACGCATTTTTCAATAAAGCTATATTATAAATGGTACCTAACTATTTTGCGTACCTGCAAAATCTAATGAGATTTTTTAAAATTCGGTATTGTCAAATTTCTTTCGTATTGAAGATGCCGAAAATAATCTCAGAAGAAAAAAAAAGAGAAATATTAAAATGACATGGTTATTTAAAAAAAAAAAAACCAGAGGCTCTCCAGGGAACAATTGAAGCCCAACTTGCAGATATATTTGAGGTAGGTATAACTTAAATGTGGATGTGAAGCCATTTCTTACCCAAACAACATTTTCCTTGAATTTTAGGTGGGAACCAGGACAATTCAAAGAATTTTGACTAGACAATATACAATCAAAAAACCTTTAGGCCGACCGAAAACCTCGCCACAACTCTTCCATATTGCTGCGAATTAAGTGGACATCGCCATAATAATCGATGATCGCCGACATTCATAAGGGATAGGCACGTCCAGAAGAAGAAGAAATAAAAAAATAGAAATAGAAGAAATGCCGTTGGACCAAACCCGAAAAAAAAGCTACTGCAATAGTTATTTGTGCAACCAGTTGGGAAAAGCACTATTTTTCGTAACGAACTGATTTCTGCGTTGGCAACACAAGCCTTTTCTACATAGAAAATTCGAAAGCATTGACAATTTTACATTGTATTGCCAACATAATGTAATTTTGACTTTTATCTTTAAAAAAAAAACACACTTTAGAGTAAAAAAGAATAATTATTATTAGATTCTAATGTCCATCAATTCAGGAAGCGACGTACCGAGTGACATTGAGGAGTCGGCTCAACCTGCTCTCAAAAAGCCGAGCAAAAAGCAAATATGATTTGGCCCTATGTCAAATTTAGTTCATGGTCAAATTAAATTTCCATTATGTACAGGGTCTGTTCCTCATAATTAGTGCGGCTTCTACAACTTAAAAGAAAATACAAAAAAAAAGTTAAATACAAAAGTTGTAGGGTTTTATCTCTACTATGTTTTGCATCTGTCAAAATGGGCAAATGACAGGTGCCAACTGTCATATTGACATCACTTGCATTTTTTTAAATAGAACACCCTGTATATTTTTAGCTGGAATGATAGATTTTTCTCTTCTGATTTCAAATATATCATATATGTTGATATTTAGTTCAGCTGTTTTTGCGCTATTTCATTTTAAAAGTGTATTGAGCAAGCCTCATCATTATGATATTAGAAACCGGGAACAGACATAATTTAGGGTAATGTAATAGTATATTATGCAATGATCATGTATTAATGGCCATTACATGAGAGTTGCATACACTATTTTTTCTACTGCCATTGATAAAACATGATATTTAGATAGGTATGTCAACATTACGCTTAACTTTGAATAGAGATTTCATAATTGAGTAATCCATACAGTTGACGGTTTCATTTTTTGTTGTAATTCTTCAAAATATACTATCAAAACATTTTCTGAGAAGGACGATGTGTTTTTGGTGTTTCCACTCCATAAATTGTCCATATAATTTTTCGTAAATTTTCTTGGATTTGTCCGGTAGTAGATTATTACCTGCATTTGTCGCCCTTTCTGTAATTTCTGGAGGTGTTAGTGAAAATTTTTCGTTATCGCTCAATATTTCCATAATAATGCCTTCTCCCAAACTTAAGGTATTAACTTTTAATAACAATTTGAGGTATTTTTTTTTTTAAATTATTGTTTTTCGCTAAATTACCATGGAAAAGCTATAAACAGAGTGCTGCCAACATTCAAAAAAAAATCAATTTTTTTTAACTGATGGCGCCATCTATTGACAATGTATGATAATAAAGAAAGTAAAAATTCTTCCTTATCATTCATTATTTCCATAATAATTATTCTTTGTCCCAAACTTTAGGTAACTTTCAAACAATTCGGAGTCTTTCTTATAGTTATCAAAATAATTGTTTTATGCAAAATTACGGTTTAAAATGTTTAATATCTTAACTAGTGCTGCCATCTATCAACATTGTATAATATTAAAAATAAGTATTATAATGAAAATCTGTATTGTAATGAAGTTCATTATGATACAGATTTTAATCGTTTAATAGCGTATTATGGAATGTCAGTATGATGATAGGAATGACAGCTTGCCCAAACTCCGCTTCGCGTAGTTCGTACAGCTGCCGTCGCGTGCGGTAAAGGACCACTTTCCGCACTTGTTAGGTAAATAACTATTTCATCACCAGTTGCGAAAAATTTTACTTTTCGTAACTGGTGATGAAAAGTAAGACATTTGATAACGTCAACGAGTTTTGAAAAGTGTCACTTTGAATGTCAAAATTACAAAAAAACATATTTATGCTATTGAGCTTACTGTTATGGTTACGTTTAATTAATAAATTGAATAATTTTAGTATCTGAATTTACTCAGATATTTTACACATTCTGACAACTCGGCTTTCTGTTTCATAACCCTGAAATTTGAAAAATATTTTGTCATCAAATGTCATTATTATACGAGGGTCAACCTGTCAAATTTCCATGGATAATGCTACGCCAATAATAAGTGAAAAGCATATACCTAATGTTTTTTGTAATATTCCAACTTTTCTAAAGTGGTTTTGTGTCATCGATAGAATAGAAAAAATAAACTTTTCTGTTGTATTAAATAACATGCTTTGCACTTTCCTTGAATACTACAGGATTTTTAATGGTTTTTACACTAACTTAACACATAAGAGTCTTTCGACTTAATAGACAGGACTAGAAACCAAGAAAATTAGGTTCTAGAAGCAAATCGTGTTACTTTTGAGGTAAAGGTATTTCTTATGTCATTTGGTCCGCAGAATCCAAAAATGCCTGTTACCAATTCGAAATCGCAACCGGAAGTGAGATATTCGAGATGGCGGCCAGAAACTTGGAATTAACCTATTTTCCGCCTTCAGACCTAGGAACTTGATTAGGACATCAAATTATATGTTCTTTAGGGCGAAAAATACACATAAAGTCGACAAAGCATTTTTATTATTTTTGTGGACAAACGTTATTAGTAAATAATATTGTCCCTACTTATGCATATTCAAACATAGAGCCTTGCATTTGCAGATCTTCATGCACGGTTCGGAACCCTTTCTGCACTGGCTAGTTTGGCACATCCCTTTGCAACCACGTGCACGAAGGGCATTCCATGAGTTCGGAATAGGCGCTAACCTCTTGAGGATTGGTTCGAGATGCCTAGACCCGTTAGTTTTCCAGCACCAGTTCTCCTGAGAGAGAACATTAGGTCTCGCGATATGGGCACTTTCCCAAACGCACACCTGCAAAAAGTTGAAATTGGCAATTCGAGTGCCATTTTCACAAAAGACCTAGTGATGACATCTTTGAATATGCAAGCGTAGAGCATCTGAAGTTGGGTTGGGGGCAAATTTTCAGTTTTCTTAACGGCTCCAAACAAAACACTTCAAGCAGCGTTACATGTTTTTAATGTCTGAACTAACCCATGGATGACGAGAAGATATAGTTTTGAAAAAACTATCGAAAATAGGATAAATGTTTTGTTACCAATATGTACTTTATATAGTTGAACTACAAATTCCTTTACGTTCGCAATGACTTGATCTGTCAGATGAATTGATCCAAAGACCTGTTAGAAGGAAGCAGGAATCTTCTCTAATTAATTTCCACGCATACCCGTCTTTGTTATGGAAGATATATTTTTTCTATATTTCGCTGCGCTTCTTGAAAAAGTCTGTCAAATAAATTTGAACTTTTGGTAATTGCAAATGAGCTCATCTCCTGCAGCTTTATTGAATTCTTCAGCTACATCAATATCATCTTCTTCTAGCTTGCTCAATATCTGTGGGTACAATATTTTCCACAATGTTTGAAAGGTAAGTTTGTGCGCTCTTATTCCCTTAGCGCAAGATTTTCCATCTAAAACCTTTTGTATTGTGCCCTCCGCAAGCAATCCACTTTTATACGACAACATTGCCATGCCATTTTTATTCATATGTTGAACTATAGCTTGCAAAAAAATGTATAAATATATGCAGTCCACCCATTCCCAAAATTATACATTCCTTGTAAATATCTGAGGCTGCCTGTAACTCAACAAGCTTACGATACAGAGCCTAATCCGTAGTCAGTACAATGTATTTTCCTGCAAGACTATCGGCTACCGCTATGCATCTCTGGAGGACAGTACTCAGAGTCGTCAATTCATGTGCCGGATTCAGAATAATTGGCATGAGTCCAACAGCGGATTAATCAATTGGCACTGTTGTCTTTTTTTACGTTGAATTTCGTCCATCCAATGTTCTCTTTGCCGACACCTCTTGACATTGCAAATGTCAAGTCTCCCACTTTTGAATTTAAAATCGTATTTTGTGCTTCAGAAAAATCAGACGGATCAGACAATTGGAAGCAGCTAACATTCACAGGTTTGGCAATGTAAGGTTCGTGTTGGGCGGATGATTTTACGACGCAAAGCTGAACTAACTCAGGAGGAATTTGAAGGGTCGTAGCTTTGGAGAGTCCATTTTTACGCAGCATGCAAATAATGTCATTCCCATGTCTCTGAAAGGCCACCATCAGTGTTGAGTGAAAATTTACTTTTCCATCGAGAGTATCTGTTAAGATATCCATGTTATCATTTGAGGTTGTAGAGGGTTTCAGATTAGGGGGAAGAACTGCACCACTTGCTTTATCAAATCCTTGAAGGCTAAGATTTCCCAGAGAAGCCCAGCTTGTAGGATATTATTGTAGCTCATTGTATGCCCAGCAGCATGGAGCAGGTTTGCCAACTTTTTGCTTCTTGCGGCCTGATGAATAGTAAGACTGAGTCCAATATGTTTGGGTGTAAGTTTTTCCTTGCTAATACCATACACAATATCTTGGTCGAATAAAAAAATAACGGTACTAAACAAAACATCTACTGGTAAGTTGAATTCTTCCTCTGAGTCATCATCATGATCATCAGAGCACAAATCAGGTAGATTATCAAGAATATCCTCAACCATAATCAGGATATTCAAAAATGAGTGCAGTAGATCTGGTACGACTTTGATACATGCATCTCTAGAAAGTGAGTTACATAGTTTTTGACATATTATATTATGTATTATATATCATTAATGGCGGGTATTATAAAACTACTTTGACAGTTAACTTGAAGTTAACTCCTTCCTCCTCAGGTAATTTCAGAAGTTAACTTTAAGTTAACTGCCAAAGTAGTTTCATAATACCCGCCCTAAATCTTTCTCACCATAAGGAAATTATGGAAAAATATTTTAAGTTTTGGGGTAGGGTATTATAGCTCCTGCTTAATGCGCCACTGGCCCAAATGTATATAGGATTGATGATTGATTTCAAAAATATATGTGTCTGAGCACGCTCATGCGACTTAACTAGAAAAAAACATGTGACTTCGCAGTTTTTGGCCGCCATCTTGAATATCTCGTTTCATGTTGAGATATCGACTTGGTGACAGGGCCGATCCTAGCAGGTGTGCAGCGCGTGCCCCGTACGCGGGCGGCCAAATCTGGGGCCGGCCGCAGGCCGCCTATAGTTCTGTCATTCATGATTCAAGCGTTGATTCAAATGAAACTTTACAAATTTCTCAATAACTACTTCTAATAAAGGAATACCTAAGCTGAATTTTAAAAAACTCCTGAAAAATCAAAATAAACCCCGATCTCCCGATAGCATAAATAGAAGGTTTAGTGCACAGTCAGTGTGTTGGCTTGACTCATTGACTCGTTAATGATTTTGCTGTTCACAGTCAAGACTTATTTACACAGCCCTCATTGGATCGCATTTTTTAAAATATTTTCTGAATTATTACTATTGCTTTGTTTTCTCAAAACGTTCATTTTTGTTCCTTATCTGCAAGAATAACTACTAACCGAACCATCCAATAGCACTTGGTGAATACTCTGCTAACAATTTAACCAACTTTTTTGGCCCCAAATGCAGGTGGGTATATGTTATGTAGAGTATGGAGTATGTAAGGTATATTTTTTAATTTCGTACCCAGGCCCTACTTAGTTTTAAGATAGTGCCATTATTGATTATCACTCACCCCTCGACTCACCTGCATTCCAACAACTCATAGAAAACAAATATGTTCCTAACAAGTTTTTTATTTACTCGAACGCTCAAAATCGTTCATTTTGAGGCTCGAAATAGTCGAAATGAACGTTTTTGGGCGTGGCACCCAAAAAAAAATTTCTGCCTCCGGCGGCGTCTACGTACAAACGGAGAGCTATCTCTATGGGGCAGCACGATTGCTCTTTGCACGCGGGCGGCCGACACCCTAGGATCGGCCCTGCTTGGTGACAGGCATTTTCGGATTCAGCGGGGTCAAATTAGCTGGGAAACACTATTAGCTAAAAAGTAACACGATTTGCTTCTAGACTCATAGCGGAAGGCTTTTTTCTCAAATATAGTCTTGACTATTAAACCCGGCAGGCCTATTCTCTACGAACAGCAACTACATAGCAACCAGCAACGGCAGGGGTCGTATTTTCGAATTCATTCGAGTACATTTCGTACACGAAATTTGATTGACAGCAATGTAAATTAAATGGGGCGCATTCGAAATCGTATCAAATTTTGTATGCGAGAATATTCGAAAATACGACCCCAGGCCTATTCTCTACGAACAGCAATTACATAGCAACCAGCAACCGGTCGCAAGTTGCTTTTTTTGAATAGAAAACTCGCGTTTGACAGCGACTTGACAGCGATAGTCCCCAGTACATCGACCTTAAAATTTTGTAACTCATGTACACGCCAAACTTCCTGAGCGGCTTCATAACACCAAGTCGGACAATATTTTTCATATCTCCACCCTGGGCGATGGGACATTGTCGCGCTAGCTCTTCGTGAAGTTGTCGTGCTGACGTCCCTAAGGAAGTTGATACATGTACGTGTAGTTTCAATGTCAATCGACTTTTTTTTATGTTACATTAACGATATCAGATTTGTCGGACAAAAACCATGTGGCTTTGGGGAAGATTCGACGCCCTCAACATGTCGCTGTGGCGTCCCTGAGGAAGTTGATACATGTACGTGTGGTTTCAATGCCAATCGACTGTTTTCTATGTTACATTATTGATATCACATAGGTCGGACGAAAATCACGTTGGGGGGGTCCGAGGCCCCCAACATGTCGCTGTGGCGTCTCTAAGGAAGTTGATACATGTATGTCCGACAAAAATAATTATGAATAACAATGTACCTAATTTTAAAACATGTGTAGTAAATGTCGGACAAATAAAATGAGTATTAAAGTCAGTCGGCCCTTTTGATCAATTTCTGCCGAAATTCAGGATCTTCACTCCTGAGATTGCAAAAAAAACACGACTGAATATCCATTCTTTTTCACACGCGTGGTTTTGAATGACCGTTCACTAAATAATTTCCGTAAATACTCGGAGAACTATCAAAGAAACAGATCAGGGAATATGACACAGGGCCCCACAGGTATTTGACAAAGTAGGTAAATAATAAACTGACTAATATGCACGTTGCGTTAAGGCAAACTAATTTTATTTTTTTCATTGATTGTCTCAAATTTCTTGCCCGACAAATGTGATATCGTTAATGTAATGTAAAAAACTGTCGATTGGTATTAAAAACACACGTACATGTATCAACTTCCTTAGGGACGCCACAGCGACATGTTGAGAGCGTCGGACCCCCTCGAAGCCACGTGATTTTTGTCCGACATATATGATATCGTTAATGTAATACAAAAAACAGTCGATTGGCATTAAAACTACACGTACATGTATCAACTTCCTTAAGGACGCCACAGCGACATGTTGGGGGTGTCGGACCTTCCCCAAAGCCACATGGTTTTTGTACGACAAATGTGATATCGTTAATGTAATGTAAAAAACAGTCGATTGGCATTGAAACTACACGTACATGTATCAACTTCCTTAGGGACGTCAGAACGACAACTTCACGAAGAGTTAGCGCGGCAATCTCCCATCACCCAGGGTGGAGATATGAAAAATATTGTCCGACTTGATGTTATGAAGCCGCTCAGGAAGTTTGGCGTGTACATGAGTTACAAAATTTTAGGGTCGATGTACTGGGGACTACGACTATTGCGCAATTCTCTGCGGTCGCAAGTTACAGAATAAGGCTGCGGGGTTGTGTTATTAGTCCTCCTTTAGTAGTTTTTAACCACAAAAGGTCCTACGTGAACAATAATAAGTGGCAAGAACTAAGATAGAAATCAAAGGTCTATATAGAAATACAAATGCGGAAAAAAACCTTAAACTTGAAAAGACAAATATTGAAAAATCGAAATTGAATCAAGAAACTAATTCCTGTCCGCACAAGACATTTTATAATAACAACTAAATAAAGTAGATCAAGAAGACAAAGAAGCAGGAACAACTATAAGCAAATGGAGAGGTCTTGTACTTAGACCAAACGCGGAGGTGTTGTAAAAATCGTCCATTTTCAACCTTATCTAAATTTTTCCTCTTGATTATGGTTAAAATACTTATTAACATGTTCTATAGATCAAATCCTCTAGAAACAATGACGAGCTTAATAATAATTTATCAGACCTTTTCGTATAGTCGCAAATCGATTTGAATCTGCAAAATTGATTGAAATTGCACAAGTTGTTTGTTTGATTCTCGTCGGCTGCACCCTCCACACAAAAGGGATATTACTTCGGTTTTGAACTGATTGCCTGAAAATTAGCTGACGATGAATCCATAGCGTTCGCGTTGTTTGGCCAAATTTAAATGCTGACGCAAATACTGAAGTCTAATTTGAGAACTAGTCGATTTTTCCCGTTTGAATTTACTCTCGCGAATTGTGCAGTTTTGAGGGTATATGGATTGTTTGGAGCTTAAACAAATTTCAGGGTTCAATTTTTTTTTTTTGAACGGAATTTGCAATCGCCAAAGAACTGTTCATAAATTGCACACATTATTCAACCTCTGAACACATATTTACAAATACCAAAAATATCGTATACTATTGTCATTGATTGCACCCGTCGAACCATCAAGATTACTCCAATTTGCGTCTGACCCGAGTATAAACAAATTTGCCTTGCTCCTAGAGTAATACGTAGCTCTAAATTACCGACTTAACTGACAGGGCCTCTGTTGCTAAGTTAATTGCAACCTACGTTAATGTCCGGGCGGCTATATTGATCATTTCTGCTGTCTCTATATTCGGTGCACGTTTGTCTATGTACAAACACTCTAGAAGTGTTTCAACAAAGACAAAAAAGTTAAATATACAATCAGTATATTTGCAATTAATGAATATAGGTAGGCATCCGCACCCTAATTTGACCCAATATATACTGAATAATCAACACCCGGCTCAAATTATGATATAAATTTTAGAATCAACAGAGATTCCTTTGTTAGCGAGTTGTAGAAGATGTTCTCATAATTGTTTTGACACATATTGACTTTCCCAAGTTCAGTCAAATTTATTTGTAAATATAGTACCTATAGCTTGAGACGGAATATTAATTTAATTATTGTGCACATCAAACAAGAGGATATCATTACATTTGGTTGTTATTTTTGAAAGTAGGTATACTTGTGCTTACAGTTTTGACTGATATTTTTTCTCTTTTAGTTTTTGTCTGTTCCAGGCTCTCAAACATTATTTTGTTTCTTTCTTGACTCCTAAAATCAAAGGAACAAATTGGGGGGAATTCGCTGACTATAATGAATAGTACTTGGTACCTTGACACTTTTGAAATAATGTCTTCTATGTTTGGAAGTGGATATGCGTCTAGTTCAGTGAATTTGTTTAAAGTCTGGGCATAGTTGATTATCATTCATCTCTTATGATTTGTACTGGAAGTGACTAAAGCTTGAGCTCTGCAAGGCGAATTACTCTTTTCAATGATAACTTCAGAAAGCATTATCCTGACTTCTTGTTCGATAAATTTCGGGTCATCTAGTGATTGTTTCTTAGATTTAATAGCTATAGGTCTGCAAGTGTTATTGAGATTCGTGAATAG